AGGTATGTTTTTCCTGCTTGCAAGTCTGCTATAATGAAAATAAATAAATAAATAAAGCACAGCAATAATAATTAAATAAACAATATCCACATCCTTTTGGTCGTTCAGTGCCCTATCAGTTAATGAATTCCTGAGGCACAGATTTCCACCTCCTGGGAGAATCACTTTAGCACCTCTGTAAGTCTTTTGGTGGTGATATGAATATTAGGATATTGAAACACGGGGTGTGCTGAGGAGCTCTTAGGCTTTCAGAGTTTCAGCCGGATCCCTGTATCCTGGGGAGACTCCCAAACCCTTGATTTGTGTCGGGAAAGGTACCAGCTCAGACACGTGCAGGCTTTTCACCTTCCTGCTTCAGTTCAAGGAAGCCAGGGACACCAAATCATGTAAAACTCAATTTCCTCTTCCTGGTCCTTTTTATAGTGTCAAGTCATTACTGTCATCTGTTTTAACTTGCAAAATCCACTCCAGGCTTCAGTGAGCGGTACTTGCACTGTGTCCTGGATGCTTCCATGGGAGCTAAAGCAGCAAACAAAGAGCGGAGCTGGGAACCTGTTAAGAGTTTTAACGATGTAATCAAAGTTATACAAAACATTACTGCTATCCAAGCTAAAATAATCCTACACTTACTGTCCAAATTAACCTGTTCCAGCTCATTCTGAACAACAGTACAGCAGAAACTACTCATACAAACTGTATCAGATCCCCCTTGTGCCCAAGTTAAGTTCACCCATTAGGTGGGTTATGCTGGTGAGTCCTTTGTCAGGGGTTTGATGTTGATCTTTTTGGGGGATCTCTTCTTTCATGGGCTAGTTAGTTATTGATACACAGGTTTAGTTATACAGTGTTTTCTTAGTTTTGTTATGTCTTTACTATATAACAGAGTAATTTCTTTAGCACTAAACAAAGTCTGTGGCCTCTTACTAGCAATGGCAATACAGAATTGACCTGCATAGATTCTAGGTATATAATAGTATACCTAAGGGAAAAACTACCTATGCCATGTTGAAGTATACGGACAAAGCCTGCTATATTTAAAATTTGGTAACTCCCTCCCCTGCTTCTTTTATTCTCCTTCCTTCCTTTTGATCAAACATTCACGGGCACCACTGATATAGAGAATAAAACTGGATAAACTCTACACCAAACCTTTTAGGCTGAAATTAAAATGCTTGTGCCAGAGGTGGTTTCTTCTGCAGTGTGAAAGAGAGTCTTCTAGTTCTGGTATGTATGATCTTTAGAGTAGGGATTTCTTTTTACTTGTGACTGAATGCCACTACTTTTACAAACATGAATTTGTCAACTACTTTTAGGCCCATGTTTTCTGGACTTCCGTTACAAGTGAAATAGAGTCAGGATCTTGGCTGGTTTTAGATTAGCCTCAAATGTTTCTGATCTTTCCCTGATGCCTTAGGATGTTCATGTTCCAGTCACATACAGTATTATTTTTTGTCTCAAATTTCTGGGGAAGGCATGGTGCTCACTATACATAACTGTTTATGTATGAGACTAATTACATGCAAGAGCTTCTTCCATACTTCAGTGCCTTGGTAGCCCTACCAGCTTGAATATCTAGTGGTTGGTTTGTAGATGAAAGAAAAGGCGATTTGGTACCTAGAAGTGTGTCTTGCACTGGACAACTCCCAGCTCTGCCACATGCCTCACTTGTATTGGGCAGATCACTAAATCTCACTGTAACTCACTTCCTATCTGTCAAGCAGGATAATAGACCTTCTATAATGTCTAATGGGGCTATGGGCACATTAACTAGTGTTAAGGTGCTTGCTTAATAGTTAGCCAAATCCAGATCATTAAGGTTGAACAGAAAATCTCAAACTTAAGGCTTAAACCTTATGTGTCCTGGACCTGTAGTATAATATTTTGCCGTCTTTGCATTACACAGAGACTCGGAACAAGCCCTTTCAGAAGTGAGTTGCCTTCGTATAAGTCGCTGGTGCAGATGGGGTGGGCGTGTGTTGCGGGCAGCTCCCAAACTGGAACGGGAGCGGGAGGAGGCTGGGGAGCCCTGCATGCTGAGACGATCTGCGAGAGCGCGGCGGCTTCCAGCTCGCTGCTTTTCCCATTTTCCCTTGGCGGGTTAGAGCTATTTTTAAACTCAGTATCTTTTAAATAATGTATAAGTTCACAATAGAGACTTATAGTACTGGAAGAAAAAACATGAAGGAGCTATTTGAGGAAGAAAAAAAAAAAAGGAAACGGAGAAAATCCTATCAGGATTGCTTGCAGGAGGGTCCTGGGATGAATAAGGCATCTGTCTGTTCAGTTTCCAGACTTCATTTGCAGAATTCCTGTTTTAGAGCAAATCTTCTCTCTTTGAGCAGAGATTTTTCATTTACCAAATGCCTTCCCAATCAAAACAACTGCATAAATACACTGCTGTGAGAGAAGCACGTCACTTCAATGGCCCTTACATTTCGACACGGTAGTGCCCAATCTTTCTGGCTGTCTAAGTATTTTAGTGTCTCTGAAAGTCAGGAAAGCCCTTTTCCTTTGAGACCGGCGTACATGAATGTTTCAGTTAAGCTGTATACGTGCAGCTAATCCAACTCTTCAAAGCAGCACTAGATGCACTATGTATCTGCTGAGTGCGTAGGCAACTGAGGCACCACAGCACGTGTACATGTGTGAATGTGTAAGACCCTAAGCCAAAGGGCTGTCCCGGGAAAGATGGTATCCCAGGCAGTTCCTGCAGAGAGCTGGTGCAGTTTGCTTCCACTTTCCACACTTTCCTTGCAGCTGGCACCTGTTCATGGAGAGGGGATCAAGGGAAATGGGTGGCTGGGAACATTGTCGGCACCAGACCGATGTATCCGGCCCCCAGCTCGCTCTGCACGTGCTGCCCAGTTGCTCTCAGAAAAGGAGGTTGCAGGGACCTAGCTGCCGGGCACATTAATAGTTCTGGCAGCTTATGGATTTGTGACCTCTGTGGGCATAAGGACGATGTCCGCAGCAGAAGCCTGGCCTTGTGCGAAGTGTGCCAGGAGAAGAGAAATGCACCATGGATTTTTGTCTTTTTGCACGTTCATCTTAAAGTCGTCCTGGGGCTGAGCTAGGGGGTGCAGCCCAGTCTGCTCTTCAGTGATGCAAACAGTTAATGCAGAGGTGGAGCAAGACCGAAAAATTGGGAACGTACCAAGGGTTTTGGGTTTGCTCCATTTTTCATATCCTCTAGATCTAGTGTTGCTAATGACACGGGTAGCCAAGGGAAAGGGAGATTTTCTGTTTTTGGGGATCTCTGTTTATTAAAAAGTGAGCTCTGATGCTCTTAAGGGGAGAGCAGGGAGAGGCACAGAGTATTAAGGGGTACAGCATCAATCATATAATTTTATTCCTTTTCCCTTGTGTCATATGCTTTTATACCATAATGGAGACAGTAATCATAAATATTCATGTGGGTGTAAAGATAGCACACTTTTTTTCAAGTACATTTGGAAATAATTTGTACTCTGGCTGTCTGAAAAATTACAGTTCTGTGCTGGTTTTTAGACCTCATTTTAATACTTAGTGAGGTATTTGGGGTGAAATGGCTAGCAAATTGAACCTGTTTTATTGTTTTAGTATGGACTCTCTTTTTTCCCCTCTCTAAATTTCTTAGAATCCTCAATATGGAAGATGTTTCCTATTGGTTGTATTTAGAAGAGAAAAATTATTAATGAATGTCCGACATTGAGACATACAAATGACTTACAGGGATTAAAGAAATAAAAGGTCTACCAGTACATTTGTTGTAGTCCAGTAACTGATGCTAGCAAGAAAAATAATCATCAACCTGGTACCAATGCAGGAAATGCTTTTAAGAATAATTGCAATATCTTTTTGTGTCACTGCATTGAATTTTTAATTGATTTTTGTATTGTTGATAGAGGCATTAAAAACCTGTGGTACCTGGTTATTTATAAAAATTACCCATAAAGTGATATGCATAGTTCATGGACTTTTTTCAGGATTATTGATCATGGTTGGCTGTTAGGGGGAGAACTCTGAGAGTTTTAGCTGTGTCTGGGCAAACAGTTGGAGAACGTTGTCTTTGACTGACACAGGAGCCCTGGTGAATGAGGAGCTTAGGTGAAGAGACACGCGTGGGTTACAGTGCTCTTCACAGAGGCTCCTTGCAGAGAAGAGGTTGATGTGTCTTCCTCTTGCAACCTGTGGGTTTTTGTGGTATTGCATGTGTGTATCTCCCTCGAGTGTCTGTTCATATACAGAGCACTGCATGGGCCTGTGCACTTCAGACACTCAGGGTAGATGGTTTTTTGCTTTCTGTAGTCTCTCAGGGTGCACATGTGTGTTGTCATCCCTCGTGATCCAAGCCTAAGGACATGAGAGGTGGTGCATGCTCCCTTTGCCTCTCTCAGGCATCTTTGGCTGCAGACCATGTTTTCTCATGCCCGTATGGTCTGCAGCTGCTCCCACAGCGCTGTTCTTTCCTCCCCTGCCTCTTTTTTTCCCCCATGTTAGAGTGTTTCGGAGGGTTACACGGTCCTTTTCTCCATCCTCAAGCTCATTGCTGCTGATGAGGTGATGCTAGACAGGCTGTTGGTCTCCACCACATGGCTTGTTCACAGAGCTGAGGCTCCACTTTGGCTCCGGGGTGCCTGGCTTCCACTGAAGCACTAAAGACTAGAGGCGTTAAACAGCCCATAGGTTGTTTAGGTGAACCACATCTCCAGCATGTATTATTTCTAGGATTTTATTTATTTTCTGACCCAGAAAAATGTTTCAGGTCAAACCTAGTTTATTCCTAGGGTAAATACTTGTCCTCGGTTTCTAACATCCAAGTGCAGGATGGTGCAGCTAAGCTTTAGGAGTAAGAAGCCCTCCGTGCTGAGGAGTCTTTGGAATGAAGACCAAAGCATGCTTCCCAAGAAAGAAAATTGTTCCCAGCCTTCAAGAAGTGTTTGCTGCGCTCTCTTCTTGCTCAAACAAGGAGCCTGGGAACAAATCCTGGTGAAGGTCATCAACCTCTGGCAGCAATGTCATTTCAGAGAGCTTCTGTTCCAGGGTATGGTCTGGAATTGGTAGGGATCAAAACTGTGTAACTGAGCAGGTAACACTATGGGTAATCCCAAGGCCATGCTTGGGCCTGCGCCCCAGCGTCGCTTAATACGTGTGGCATCTTGTGTCTTCTGACTTATTTAGTAGTGCTGTAAGTTAAGGGAGATTTGGTTTATACACCCCTGCTCCCTCCAAACACTCTGTCTTGCCTAGGCATTTTCTTTCTTTCTCTTTTTTTCTTTTTTTTGTGTGTTAGTTTTCTTTGGTTTAGGAAGTTAATCCCAGGGGATCTCAGAGGTGCAAATCCACCTGAAAGTTCAGGCCAGCTCTCATTGGGATATGGTGAAAATCTTGCAAGTGTGCACAACTGTTCCAAAGTCTCAGCAATTCCCACTGGAATGCTCTCTGACAAGTTTTGCAGTTACCTCAACTCTGAACTTCTAAGGTAGGTTTACCAGAGATAACCTGTTCTTAACAAAGCTAAAAGAAATAATTGCTCTAGAGATAACATTATTTTCTATTAGGAAAAAATATATTTTCTTTAAAAAAACAAACAAACAAAAAAACCCAAAACACTAGTGTTCCATATATGATTTTAAAAAACAAAAGCAACAATGTAAAAGGAATTTTCTCATTCAGGCCCTACAAGCATGATACTTTTCTGGCTATTTTTCATTTCTTTTTGGATGGATGAGGAATAATAACAGTGGGGAAAAAGGAAAACAAAAAAAAGATTTTAAAAAATATAAAAGCTTTTGAAGTTTTGACTTACAAAACCAACATATTTTAGAAAGTTTTAAACATTTTCTCAAATTTCATTTTAACAAACAAATATACATGTGTATTCAATATTCTTCTTGTTGGATTCTTTTTCGACAAATTTTATGTGTTTTTTTCCTCTGAAAATAAAGTTCTGTTCTTCATTCATTATCTGTAGTGTTGTTATTACCCAGTCATTGACTTTTTCTGAGTGATAGTGTGGAGTTCTTCACTGCACAGCTCTGAAAAGCTTGGATATGAGACAAGAGTGTTATTATGTTCTTTTTGAAATGATATTTTGCAAGTCTGGGATAGTAACTCAAGATTTTTTTTTCCATGTCCTCTTATTACCCATATCAATAGTACTACTAAAATACGTATTTGTATCCCAAATAAAATGCTGGGGCTCAATTGGCCAAGTAGCAAAGAATAATTGCTTATTTTGAATTGTTTTCCAGTGCTTTAAAACAAGTTACTCATTCAGGGCACGATGAATAAGATTCTATTTTGGTGTGTTTCTCTTAAGTATCTTTGAAGATTAAAAAAGGAATTGCTTGGGGGAGAGAACCCATTTGGAAAAAATGTCAGTACACTCTTTAGTTTAGTAAGGGGTCTGGTATTTGTGTGTTGAATCCCTACTGGGGAGCTGAAAGTGTTGTGGTGGAAGTGCAGAGCATGTGTGCTCTTCGTGGTCCATTTGTGGCCTGACAAGAGTGGCTGCGAAATGGAGCTTCCCCTGCACGGGTTTGTGCTCGTTTTAGATACGCTGGGGAATGAAATGAAAGGACTTCAGTGATACAAAACGCTCTTCGTGCTCCATTTGTGGCCTGACAAGGGTGGCTGGGAAATGGAGCTTCCCCTGCACAGGTTTGTGCTTGTTTTAGATAATGCTGGGGAACGAAATGAAAGGACTTCAGTGATACAAAATTGTGATACTTAGAAATACAGTCAGGACAGAGCTGTGCCTGCACAGTATGGGCAAAATCCTTTGCGTTCCCTCCGTGCATTGGAGGAGAGGCAGAAGGGCGCTGGGCTGTGCGTCACGTTCGCGCCTCCGGACGGGTGTAGGTCTGGGTGACTGTGTCACTGGGAGCAGGGTGTTCCCTGGGGAAACCGGCTGTGCTTGTCCTCTGCTCCTGTCTCATGATCGCGCTGTGGTCCTGCCCCTGCTGTCCTCTGCCCGAGAGGACAGTGTAACGGGGCAAACTGCAGTTATTCTTGCTGCCCTCGGTGCTGCCGCACGCAGGGCTGCTGTGCGGGGTCCCCGCGCAGCGAGTCTGCATTTCCTGGCGCGTCTCATCCTGCTTGCTGTGAATGAGAGTGAAGCGTGTGCATGGATTCAGGCACAAATACCCATTCATGGCTAGGGACTCATTCCTGCCATCGCAAACCAGGCGGGTACGAGTGGGGCCTCGTTCTCGGGGGGGCTTCCTTATCCCCTCCACTCCAACTCGTTTAAGTGAGAACTGGGCCCCTTCATCCTGTGTAAAGGAAAAATTTCTTTAGTTACCTCATTCTAAGCTGAAAACATTTCCTCTCTTCACCTTGTTCTTAATCTCTTGCTTTCTGCTGATATTATATATTAATTCTGCAAATGCGTTATTTAATTCTAAGGAACGTTATAGGCTGTGAGCTGTTAAAGTGCAATAGTGTATTGAAGGATGCTCAAGCTAGAAGGGAACACGTTTAATCTTGGTTTTATTTAAATCTTAATTTTATGCTATTTGGATATCTGGACAAGACTGCAGAAAATACATCATTGTATTTCAGGACTTTAGAAATGTTTCTGATGTTGAGTTCTGTTTAAGGAGATTTTTAACTCCCTTTTTTGATACAAAAATGAAAAAAAATATATGTTTGGGCTACTTCTGTGATATTTTTCATGGCTTCCACACTGGAAAGCTGCAGGATGTGTTGTACCAAAATGAAGCGAGCTTTCACACATGTTGGAATCCTTTATGAGGATTTTGCCTATAGCTCAGAAACTGTGTATCTAGATGAGGAGAAAAACAGTTGTGTTCATAAAAGGACTCTGCTCTGTTACATTTTCTTATTAAATATTTTAAAGAGAAAAAAAACTAGTTCATAATGGTGACAGTTCAATGTAAAAGTGGTAGCAGATTTTTGTTCTACTCATATAATCTGAAATACTTAGCTGTTGAGAGAAGTATCTGCTCTGTTTAAGGTACAAATACAGATGTTGAAAGAACTGGACTGCATCCATTCTGCAGTGTGTGTCCCATCTGTTATTTGTGTTTAACCATGTATTCCCACGAATTAGGTTTCCATGAAACCTTCCATAAATTCCTTCTGTGGTTTAGAATGTTTCAAACTTAAACATTTTTGTCCAAAAATGTCAGGCTCAAATGTTTTTTATCCATTCATATGCTTTAATAGTAATGGACTGATTTGCAAAGGTGCTACATATTAATATTCTGTGTTTTGTTAGCAGACGTAACAAATGCTCCACAACTCAAAATATCACTGAGTTTCTTAAGAGGAAAAGTCACTCTGGGAGTGCAGAGAGAAGGTAACTCACAGTAGGCCCAAGATACTTAGTGAAGCCTGTTGTGTCTCTGATACAGACATTTTCCAGTTAGTTTCTTCTTGCTCCCTTTGGTCCTGTGAATCTCTTCTATGGCACGAAGTGGAATTGTTGGTGCCAGCCCATGAAAAGCCTAAAGAATGGGGATTAACATACACATTTTATTACAGATAATCCAGGTTATGTTCCTTCATGTGAATCAGACAAATAAGGGCCTTGAATCTGAATGTACCTGGCTGACTGTTTAGGTCTTTTGCCTACATGGAATTGTGTGATGGTGGAGGGGGGAGAGGGGGTTGAACTGTTGTGCTTCTGGTTAAAGCTCTATTGCTGGAAAAATTGGATGCATTTTTTAGGAAAGAGCCACTTATTAGAAAGTTCTTGACCAGCAGTAATTAAAAACATCTATTTTTCAGGGCAGATGAGCTGTCTCAGATGTCCAGATCTCCTCTCTCACAATACAATTAATTATATGCAGAATCAATTACATTGCAAGGAAATACAGGTCTTTATGTTCAAGAAATAGCTATATATTTTTTCTCTGACTTTCATATTCATACTAATCTCTAAAATATTGAGGTAAAGGCTGCAGATTACAGCCATGTCAGGAGTCCTTAGCAGATGGAGTGGAATGATTCACAAGAAGAAACGTTGCAGAATTGATTCAGTGGTTGTATCTTGGTAGACATCTCGGACTCTATTTTTGTGAAAGGAAAGAAAAATGTAGTCAGGGTTAAATGTACATAACCTGGTACCTCTTGTATTTTCAGAATCATTAGCATCCTTGGAAATTGGTTTGCTTTAATTTATAGTTTAATTCAGCATTAAATTCTGCTATGATGGACGTAGCTTTTTGAAGTCCGTTTCTTGTTCTCTAAGCCACATAAGCCTCCCTGGTGCTTTCTTGTCAAATGCATTGCACAGTAGAACTTCAGTCCTAAATTCAACTTTTATTGCAAGCACCAGATGACATGTGAAGAGAGTCATTTTTAGAAACTTAAATAATTTAAAATATGGGGGAAGATTCTAGAAACATATAGTAGTGAGGATAATAATGATATCCTTATAGATTTATGTAGTAAAGAAGAGAATAAAGTTTTGAACATGTGCTTAGCTGTGTGAGAAATAGGTACAAACAGTGGTGCCATTTACTTACCTGAATTAATGTTTGCAAAACTAAATGTGCTCTTTCTTGTGGAATGATTAGCGCTGCTGTAACTCAGAGGCTCTTGAGCACTGCACCAAGAGCCTGGTTAATATTCCTGGGCTGCCTCATGTTAGGGGCCGTGAACACAGATGCCTAAATCAGGAGGCTCTTGTTCCAGGAGC